GGGGCCCTGCTCTCAACAAAATACCATTCATTCACCCCAGAAAAGCGGTGGGGCTTGGATTTTGCAAGTGCAGAAAGGAACCGTTGGCTTTAGACGCAGGGTGCACACCCTGAGGTGCTGCTGTCTCCCCTCCCGCTCCCGCAGCATCACCGTCCTGGGGACCGGCGCCAAGTGGCTGTCTGTGCTCGAGGAGAAGGACATGAAGCCAGGTAAGGGCCCCCAGAAATCGGGCTGCCCCGGGACGCCCTCCTCTGAGAGCCAGCCACAGGCTTCAGATTCACCGTCACGTTCCCGTGATTCTCCACAGCGGAAACCCATAATCTCCAGACGCTGCACACGATCCTGTCCACCGGCTCCCCACTGAAGGCCCAGAGCTACGAGTACGTCTACAAGTACATCAAGAGCAGTGTGCTCCTGGGCTCCATCTCAGGTGTGTTCCCCGCATGCCCGGAGGGGCCCCTGGGCGGTGCGGGGGCAGACAGCAGGGCTGAGGGCTGGTCCTGCTGGGCGCGTGCCGGGTGAGCAGCCGGCAGGTGTGGGCGCATCTCCTGAGCCTCGGCGCTGCCTTCCGGAAGGTCAGCACAGTGGCCTGTGGCCCCGTGTGTCTGCACACACATCGCCCTGCACTGGTCACCTTACACCCTAAAGGCAACTCACCTGGAGGATTCTATGGCCTTTATTTTACAAAAGAGTGGGGGAAAACATGGTTCAGAAGTGAATTGTAAAAAGCAGATGGTGGGCATATAAGGTGCAGTCGCAGGGAAAGGATCCCAGGAAGACAGCTGGTGTCCAGGTTTGGGGCTCACCTGCCCACTCCCGCCCACCTCCCGGGGCTGGCTGTCACCCAGTGTGCCCGCTGCCCGTGGATGTTCACCTTGGGGCTGTGCCCACGGGCATCCTGCTCAGCTCCTCCTGGGGGTGACCGGCCAGCCAGGCGGTGTCTGTGGGGTCTGTGTGAGGGCAGAGCCTCATTTTCCTTGATGCTGTGGCTTAAATGTCAGCATGGCCGCCAGGGGCTGCTCCTTTAGTCCATCTTCCAGTGGGAAGATTGGGTCAAAGTAGTAAATTACCCAGAGATGTAATTTACTGGACGCTTCATCCAGTTCTCAGATGCTCCCCACTTCTCCCTGCAGGGAAGCCCCAACTGTTTGGCGGTGTTTTAGTGTCAGTCAGGAGAGTGGTTTGCCGGTCGGGGTCATCTGTTGCTCACTAATTAACGTGAGCCGTGACCTCCTGGGTCTCAAGTCCCTTCTGTGCTGCTTTGCAGGTGGCACCGACATCATCTCCTGCTTCATGGGCCAGAACACCTCCATCCCCGTGTACAAGGGCGAGATCCAGGCTCGGAACCTGGGCATGGCCGTGGAGGCCTGGAACGAGGAAGGTGATGGCTGCACTAACCGTTTTCTTTCGGTGATGGGGTGTGAGTGGGCCTGGATGGGCTTGCCCCTGTAGCTGCTGGGAAAATGGTCTCCAGAACTGCCCTGTCTGGGAGGGGCCCCTCTTGCTGGCTAGCCAGTTACCCTGAGGCCTGCTGACACCCCCAACTCCATCCCTACCCCGAGGCTCCCGTGAGTGCTGTCACTCGCAGGCCAAGGCTCCCCAGGGGTTGGGCTCAGGGCCACTGTGACCTTAGTGGAAGCCCCGTGGGGAGCCGCTTTAGTCTGGGCCACGCTGACGGAACCAGCCAGGCCTGCTGGGGTTCCCAAGCCCTCAGCCAGGCCAGCTGTGCAGTGCGTGTGCTGTGCGAGTTCCGGCCTCGGACCCTTCACCTGCCGCTGCCGTTACCATCACCTACAGAGCACGTGGGGAGGCCGTGTCAGCCTGCATTTTTAGGGGGGCGTGGGAAAGGTGACAGCAATGGAGGCTTTGCCAGGTCAGGCTGGGAGCCTGGGGTGGCAGCCAGGGCCTCCCTGCCCCCAGTGAGAGACATTGCCAGAGACCTTTCTGAAAATCCGCTCAGTTTCCTGAGCCGGCCCTTTCCCTTTGCTGCCCAGCATGATGTGCTCATGACACTTCCAGCTGCCTCTTTCCTTCCGGCCTGTCCCATTTCCCTGGGGCTCAATCCCTGATGCTGGGGTGGCAGAGGGGATGCCCGGGTTGTCTAAGAGACTTCTGTCATGGGCTCATCACGGGGTGAAATGAACTAGCTGAGGCAAAGGGAACTGGCAGCATCGGGGGCCTGCTACAGCGACAAGGTGGTAGAGTCAATCCTGCCCTCTGCAGGGGAGGGGCTGGGCGGGGCAGGTCACCCTCCTGGCCTCCACCCTGGCCTGTGCTCGGCTGGGCTACAGAGGGTTCTCCTTACTGGGAGCAGGTGCCCCTCAGTGCAGCTGGTTTTGGAAAGCAGCGAGAAGCAAATGAAGGTGAAAATACAGGGGCCATGATCCGGGGACCCCACTCCTGGGAGCAGAGTCCAGGCGAGGTGGTTGGTGCCAGCATCTCTTAACAGAAATGAACTGAGAGCAGAACAGATGCACATATCCAGGGGGATAAAGTGTCCCAATCACCCCCGGAGAATGACAGGTGGTGGAAAGCAAGTGGGGACAGCGCCCCCGTGTGGGGCTGGTAGGCAGCCACAGGCTGGAAGCTCCAGGTGACAGGTGCATCAGCCAGTGTGGGAGGCAAGCATCGAGTTTGGTAGTGCTCTGGGGAGTTGGAGGGGAGTCACTGGGCAGAGAGCTCGGCTTTCAGGGTATGGAGAGATGGGTGTGGGTCAGCTCTGCCCTGTGAGTGTCTGAAATACTGAGTAATAAAGAACTCAGAAGGGAGCGAGAGGAGGAAGGGGGAGGCAGCAGGGAAGGGAAGAGAGAGAGAGGAAAAAGGGAAGCAAGCCCTGCTGTGTGCTCAGTTTCTCACTTCTTCCCACCAGGACAGGCAGTCTGGGGCGAGAGCGGTGAGCTGGTGTGCACCAGGCCGCTTCCCTGCCAGCCCACACACTTCTGGAATGACGAGAATGGCAGCAAGTACCGGAAGGCGTATTTCTCTAGGTTCCCAGGTAGGCAAGGTGCAGCCTGGCCTGCTGTGTCTAGTTCTGTGTGTGATCCCCCTTCCCAGCCCTGTGTCCCACCGCACCCCTCCTTACCCCTTGTTCACAGCTCCTTCCTCCAGTGGGGTGAGCATGCAGGTTGCCACCTGCAGCCTACAGCCATCTAGGAAAGCATCATCGGGACTGAGTGGAGTCTTCACCCCTGTGCCCAGAGCACAGGCTGCTGCTGGAAGCTGGGGGAGGTGTGTGCAGAGGAGCCTGGCACGATCTTTCTGCCTGGCTCACCTCATCCAGCTCCTACAGAGGCGAATCTGTGGTGGGGGCTCTGCAGAATCAGCTCCCGGCTGCTCCTCTGCAGAGTGCCTCTCCAGGGCGGGGTCCTTTCCTGCCTCCCTCTAAGCTTATTTCATAAGCAACCTCAAGTTACTGCTGCTTCAGAATTCATGATCTAGCAAACATTCTGTTCCACGGTTATTTATACTAAGCACTGGCTTTCTGCAGCCTCTAGAAAGGTGATCTGTTTTTGCATAATCCACAGGGGAGGGATTCGCTGTACACACCGTCTGTTTCTTGTGTGTATGCACGTCCTTTGAGTTTCAGGGGAGAATCCCAACCCCAGATGTGGCCTAGCCACCTTTGATACCTGTTGCATGTCAGCCTCACCTTGGCCCCTGCCAGTGTGTGTGGACCAGACAGACTATGGCAGAATAGAGAGTGAGTAGAGAGAGTAGTGTTCTTCCGTGACCTGGAGAAGGGAGCAGTGGCCTGCTCTTAGGAAGGGAGGCCAAAAGGATCACAGCCCCTGCCGGAAGATCTCCTCAGAAGCAATGTTCTTCATCCGCAGGGCCACTCTTTGAAAGTGTCTTTTCTGTTACTTTTTGTTATACATACAAGGGCTCACATGGTTAATTTTAGAATAAATATTACCTTATTTTGGAAGTCCTAGTAGTCTTTGGAAAACAAATACTTTGCTGCCTGACCTATTCCCATTTTTGCCTTGGCTGCCAGGGAACTCAGAGGCGAGATCATTGCTCTGCTGTAGCAGTCTTCTTTTTTGCTATTCTCTTTATATTATCTTATTACATAGTTTATTGATTTTGTAGGTAGCTTCCTCATATACTATCTGGGAGTAAGTGGGAGATGGGATTACATTTGGAAGGACAAAAGCAGATAAGAGAACAGTATCAGATATTAAAAAAAAGGGGACGCTGAAGCTAACTGTCATGGACAGAGTGCACTTACGTGAGATGTTTCGTGAGGCCCCAGCACAGAGAGATTTCTTGGTCTGTGTGAGGAATGGCTTGGTGAAAGAAGAACACAACAGCCACAGCCGGGGCTTTCTGCCTCAGGCAGTGACCTACACCATCACCTTGGAATTCAGTCCCAGGTGGGATGTCAGCAGTCACTACTGGTGCAGGAAGAGCCCCCCAAAATCATTAAGTGAAAAACAGTGGTTTTCCAGGAGTGTATTATATTCCCTCATGTAAATGTTTGAAAGGGAATGGGTGTGTAAAATTTTGTGGAGAAATGCCCTGGAGGGTTACCTGAGGGTTGGGATTCTGAGCCCTTATGACTTTGATTTTATTACTTATAAAAAATCTAATCAAAGTGTAGGAATGAATGGAAAACAGACTGTAGCGTGATTTAGAGCGTTCTGATTCTTCAAAGTAATGACGTAGGTGGGTTTCCGAGGACCCGGCTCCAGCCCGCACCGTCCTGTCCTCAGCCTGGCCCTGAGGTGAGGGGCCCTGCCCCTGCCCTCCAGCCTGGGGTGACAGCGCCCCTCTGCCTCCCTGCAGGTGTCTGGGCGCACGGCGACTACTGCAGGATCAACCCCAAGACAGGCGGCATCATCATGCTGGGCCGGAGGTGAGGGGTCTGCCGGCTGGCTTCCCTTTCCTGGCCACCCCCCCCCCCCCCCCCCTCCCCCCGGTGCCGGGGCAGTGAGGGGCCCATCCTGTGTTCTGGCACCTGCTTGTTGTTCCAGCGTGAGACGACCATCTCCTCGCCTGGGCCTTTGCATTTAGGGGAATGCTGGGTGGGGACTGAGGCCCATGGGGGCTGCTGCATGCAGGGTGGGGCGTGTGTGGGGCAGGTGTCGTGTGTGTTGGTGATTGGGCCTCTCTCTGCCAGTGATGGCACGCTGAACCCCAATGGAGTGCGCTTCGGCAGCTCAGAGATCTACAATATCGGTAAGTGTCCTGCGTCGCTTTCAGCACCGCTAGTCTGGGTGTGAGGAGAACACTGGCCAGCAGGCCCTTCCTTCCGGAGCATGCCCATTTTTTGGGGGGTGGTGGTGACTGTTTTTTCTGCCATTTCATTTTTTTAGAAACCAAAGTAATGTTGGCTTACAACACCGAGGATAGCCTTAATCTTCTTCAAATGTAGGTTGCGACTCCACACCCCCCAACAAAGCTCCCATAATTGTCTCTGCACACAAAAAAAATAAGGGTGAGGAAGGCAGGAGCACAGAAAGGTCTCATGGTCACTGGAGGTCACAGAGGGCCAGCCAGGCCACCAGATGAAAGCTTGGTGGGCCTGTGGGCTCACGGTGGCTCTGTGGTCACCTGAGGGCCTTGAGGGCCACCCTAGCTTAGCCTCCTGGGACTGCCGGCAAACCTGAGCCCTGTCCTCAAAGTCCAGCCACTTCAAGGTCTGTGTAGCCTCTGGGTGGAGAAGCCTTCGCTCTTCCTGAAGGTTCTCACCACCATGGCAGGTCTTTCTGCTTATTTTATTTTATATTATTTTAAAGATTTATTTATTTATTTATTCATATAAAACTGGGGTATAGGCCAGAGGCGTAGGGATGGTGAGAGGCTTCACCAAGACAGAGTGGGGAGCAGAACAGGCAGATTGACTGAAATACACTGCTGAGGGGAGCAGTGGGCGGGTCAGGAGAGGTCTCTTGCACTATGTGGGTCACCTCTGGGCCGGGGATTCAACTAGCTCTGAAGCGGCTGCGGCCAGCTTGCAGTGCTGCATCCTAACCTGTTGCGCCACCAGGGAGGGCCCCGCTTTCTGCTCATTTGTAAGTCACCATGTGCCTGTGCCTGGCCTTGGGGACAGTGCTCGCCTCCAGCTCCCAGCCAGGTGGCAGGCTGGATGGTCTGAGCATGACCCTTCATCCCTGTCTCGCAGTGGAGGCCTTCGAGGAGGTGATGGACAGCCTCTGCGTGCCCCAGTACAGCCAGGATGGTGAGGAGAGGGTGGTCCTCTTCCTGAAGATGGCCTCGGGCCACGCCTTCCGGCCGGAGCTGGTGAAGAGCATCAGGGATGCCATCCGCCTGGGGCTGTCCGCGCGGCACGTGCCCAGCCTCATCCTGGAGACCAAGGGCATCCCGGTAGGGCCAGGCCCACTCCGTGCGTGTGCCCCCACTCCGCGCCTGGGCCCCCCTGAGCACAGCGCTGGTGCTTTACCCAGAGCGTGTCTGCGTTGCTTGGCAACCCCCGCCCCCCAAGTCTTCCTTTGGCCGCCCTTCCTAAACTGCCTTGAAGGCAGCGCCTGCCCAAGCCCGGAGGGGAGCGGCCTGCCCTGCACCTCCAGCAGGCCTGCCCTCCCCTTCCTCAATGCCGTATTTGTGCGCTCTCAGGCTTATTAATGAGAAATTAATTTTCGCCTTTTAAAGAGCAGTGGGGGTGCGTTGCTCTTGCCTTTTAATTTTTAGTCTTGCCCGTGGGGAGAGGATGATCTATTTAGAGGCCCGTCAGCCGCCCCCTTCTCACGGGGTTTCTCTGAGTGGGGGAGGAGGCGGCGCCCGGACTGGATCAGCTGCCGCTGACAAGACACAGCCTCTGAGCAGCGGAGGAATGGGGTGTGTGCCGGGCCCCAAGTGTCCCATGGCAGAGGCCTGGGAGAGGCAGCAGGTGCCCCCTGTCATGCCCCGGCTGCCCGTGGGGTGTCCTCTCTGACTCTCCTTTTCATCTTTCTGTTCTGTCTGCGTTGGGAACATTTTAGGGAACTAGAGTCTGACTTTGTCTCCTTGACTTTCTGTGTTGAAAGTCCTTTTCTGCAGGCATGTTCCTCCCCGAAGCACACCTGCTCCGGTCAGCAGGGTGGAGACAGAGGTCTGCGCCTCACTGGGCTCCCACCCCTTCCCCATTACAGTGCTTACCCTCAGCCTGCACCTGGAAAGTCACTCGGGCTTTACTTGAGATTTTTCAGGTGCCCTTGTGTTTTCAGACCCAGTGGTCTGAACTAACAGAGTGCTTAGAAGCTCAGAGGTGTGGCTCAAGCTCTGGGCCCCCAGCTGCAGACTGGCTGGGCTCTGGCCCTGCAACTCTGGACCTTCGTGGTGGTCAGGATGCCTGGGGAGGGGTGAGCAGTGCCGGGAGCAGCAGGACCCCTCCAGGCGAGCCTGGCTCTGTGGCTGGTGGGAGCGGGGCGTGGGCAAGCCGAGCACGGAGGCTGCAGCACAGCAGCACCTGCCTTTCGGGCCGGAGGGCCCGGTGCCTCCTGGTGACAGGCGGTCCCCTGGAAGCTGGCGCTGGGATCCTTAATTAGTTCACACGTTGACTGGGGTTTTTAAATGAACGAATTTTAATTACATCTCAGGTTAAAAAAAAAAAAAGAGTGCTGTGAGGGTTGATCCGGCCTGGCAGCTTTCTTAAAGGGCCTTGCGACTAGAGGCTTCCCGAGCCCAGCGGCCACCGGAACCAGAGCTGACACACATGCTGTGGCTCTGGGCAGGTCCCCACCCAGGCGGCTGATGGGTGACATAGGCCCCGAAGGCCACCCTCTGGGAAAGGTCTTTGTGAGTGCAGGGAGGTAAAGTGTAGTTGACCCTGGGGGCACTGACCAAACCTGAGGTGCTCCAGCCCCTCCGGCTTGGCTCTCGCGGCCTTGAGGTATCCCTCCCCCTGCAGCCCTGTAGAACTGTGGACAGAATAAAACCTGGTGTGAGTGGACCTGCGGCTGGAACCCTCCTGCTCCAGGGCCAGCTGCCTAGTGAGATAAGACACACAAGGAATAAAATCAGGCATCTGCGGGGCGTCCTTGGGTCTCAGTCCAGGACCTGCTGGGCCTCTGTTGCGGGAGCAGGGTCTGCCCTGGGCGGGCTGTGACTGCGTGTCCAGCCTACATGTGTCCCTTTGCTTCCCTTCGCTCCCACAGTACACCCTCAACGGCAAGAAGGTGGAGGTGGCCGTGAAGCAGATCATCGCCGGGAAGGCCGTGGAGCACCGCGGGGCCTTCTCAAATCCAGAGGCCCTGGATCTGTACAGGAACCTCCCAGAGCTGCAGGGCTTCTGACCCCGCGGGTGTCTGGCCCGGGTCTCCACCGTCTCTTTTATCTGTTCAGGAACTTACTCCTCGGGATCCTGACCACCGGCATGCTTTGGGGTCTGTGAGGGGGTGCTGTGACGGTGGCGTCTGCACCCCGGGGAGAGCCCTCGCTCCTACCAATCCAGCAGGTTCTTCGAAAGCTCGGCCTGCAGAGGACTCAGCTCGCCCTGCCCCTGACCTGCTCTGATGCGGTGCAGGTCTCCGTCTTCCTTCACACAGGGCTCTGGGCTCTGGCCCTCGTCCCCTGTGCTGGTTTGTGCTTTGGCACATCTGGTGTGGCCTGGCCACTCCTGCCTTGTCTGTGTGTCACGGACAGATTGTACAGCTCGTGGGAGAAGTGGGTGTCACTGCCCTAGCAGTGGCCTCCGCAGTACACAGGGAGCCTTCCCCACACGGAGCACCTTCAAGCTTTAATGGGATCTTTATATTTCATGGACTTTGAATGGGTCAGGGAATTTGAATGTCGAGTGTCTGGCGGGCAGGTGTCTGAAGAGCCGTCGTCCTGTCTACCCCGTCGGGCGCTGTTGCTTTCAGGAATGTGGGTGAGCCCTCAGCCGTGTGCCCAGGTGGCAGATGGTTGAGTATCTTCTGGTGACGGCTGTCTGGCCTTGGGATGTGGCCTTGCCGGGCTCCCTGTGCCCCCAGCTGCGGGGTCCCTCACCTTCTCCTGATGCGAATCTGCTCAGCAGGGCTGAGGTGGGAGGGGCTGCACGCACTTCTCAGTTCTGTTAAGAAAGACCTTCAATCCTTATGTTCGTTTTTGTATATTTCTAACCTGAGCACAAACTAAAAGCCTTTTTGAATTGTTTCTTCTGGATTATAAAAAGATGGGGTCAAGTGCTGCAAGGATCTTGATGCAATAAACCAACACTGTATGTGTGTGTGCCGGCCTGGTGACTTCTGAGTTCCCGGGGGCCGGCCTGCTGCGGGAAGCCGTGTGCCCTGGAGGAGCTGTTGGCACGCAGCGCAGGGGCATTTCCTGAGCCCCTGGTGTTCGGCAGCAGTGCCCAGTGACCCAAAGGCTGGCAGCATTGTGCGCCCGTGGCTCGGCTGGTGGCTGGGCAGAGGTTCCCTGTCTGTGCAGAGTCATCACTGCCATGTCTGCTGTGGGCCATGTGGCAGGAACTTTTGCCCAGTGGGCAGTGCAGTGCCCAGCCCTGGTGTGTCCTGCGCTGTCTGGGAAGCCCCTGCCTACTGTGTCCCAGGCAGGAGGAAGGAGGAAGTGGCGAAAAGCTGCTCCACTTGAGTCCCTTTGTTTTTTAGAGATTTATTTATGCATACAAGAACTGAGGTATAGGCCAGAGGTGTGGAGGGTGAAAGGATTCACACAGACAGTGGGGCACGGAACAGGCAGATCAACCAAAATACACTGCTGAGGGGAGCAGCGGGCAAGACGAGAGGTCTGCTGCGCCATGTGGGTCCCTTCCTGGCCGGGGACCGAACTCGTGCTGCAGTGACTGCCGATAGCTTCATAGTGCTGTGCTTTACCTGTTGTACTACCAGGGAGGGCCCCCCACTCGAGTCCCCTTTTTATCAGCAAAACAATGGCTTCTCTGGCCGTGTTCCTCTGCACACTCTACCCATGCATCCTGCTGCTCCATGGCCACCCTGGGCTGCAGTTATTCTGCTTTTGTCATAAAGCACCAGAGTGATGGGTTGGGGTGGGGCGGGGGGGGCAGAGGTCCAGTGTAGAACGTGTCATTGGGCTCAGTGGACGCTAACAGGGAGAGCTCCAGCCGCTCAGCCCCTTCCAGTGCCTCCAGGCAAACGCTTCCGCCTTCCTCAGCATCTCACTCTCAGCCCTTCCACACACTGACTCCCATGAAGTAGCCAGGCGACGCTCCTTTTCCCCTAGTCACTGCTTTGCATGCCCAAACCCACCTGTGGCCAACCCTGCTCTTGTCTCAGGTCCTGGGTGTGGTGCACGCACCCTTGGGGCCAGGAGTCACCTTTGCAGGTAGCCAGGGTTCAGTGGAAAGAAGGACAGAGGGGCTGCGGATGTGCTGGCTAGAGCCCCCACAGGAGGGCCTGGCCAGGCGACGCCCCGGGCCCCCACTGTTCTGGGCCTGCTTGTCCCTCAGCTCTCAGGTCTGCCTGGGCCCCTGGCCTCCCCTCCTGCTTGGGCCTCCTTCTGGACTGGGAGGCGCCTCCCCTTCGCTCCAGTGGGACACCCAGGCAGGAGATGTCCAGGTAGGCGGAGCTGCCGGCGCAGCGCTGGCTGACTTTAGTTATTTTGGAGAGACAGGTGGTGAGGGTGGCTGCCACGCTCCTACGTGCTCTGGCTTGAGCATGAAAAGCCCATCACCTGCTGCCACTGCCTTTCTCCTCTGCTTCCGTCAGTCACTCAGACTTTTCCTGTGCCCTTCCAGCTCCCTGCCAGGCACCCCCCAACAGCTTCAGAAAGCTTGGACCTGCCATGGGGATGCTCTGCTTGCCCCTCCTTCCCGACCCCCCAAACCCGCAGCGACTCCTCCCTGGGCTGCTCCCTCAACCCCAGCAATTGCTGGAGCCTGGAGGGCTGTCTGCACCTCCAGGCCTGTTCAGAGCCTCCCGGAGGCCAGAGCTGAGCTTTGAGTCCACTCCCTCCTTGCATTCTGAACCCGGGAGGACAGGGTCCAGATTTGCTCACTCCTCTGGGCCCCAAACTCCTCATGGAGGGCCTGGGCATATCAGCCAGGGCTGTGGATGGTTGAAGGCAGAGGCCAGGGCAGCATTCCAGGGCAACAAAGCTTTGAGGGCTCAGCTAGCCCCCTCAGTTCTGGGCTCCAGCTTTCGGAGAGAATGAATAAAATGAATAGGCGACGTGTTACAGTCACACGGTACCATCTAAGCTGCTGAAATGAGCACCCCAAATCTGGCTGCAGAGTTTTCCTCTCAGCAGCAGCACCGTGGCCCGGGCAGTGAAAGGCAACTCAGAGCAGCAGGACATGTCCGGACTGGGGCCCAGGAAAGTGGGGCTCCTGTCTTGAGGTCAGGGTCCTCACTGCTCACTGCCCTTCTCTGGCTGCGACTAGAGCCTGGTTCTGGGTTGTCGAGCCTGCTCCACTAGAAGGTGTTGAGTCCGGACAAAATGACAGAATTCCAGGAGAAGGTTCCAAACAGAATTTGTGGGGAAGAAAAGGCATTATTCTGGGACGGACTGCTCCTGTGTCAGCGCAAGCGTGACTGACACGCCAGTCACTGGCACGAGACCTGGGTTCTCATGTTCAGCGAGCTGGGCACCGGCCGGACTGCTCTGGAGTGCCGAGCCCTTCGGGAAGAGCTGCCTGGAGGCTTGCGTGACTTCCGGACCCCATGGGCTGGGGACAGGCTTGGGCTTCCAGAGGTGGCCGCAGGGGCTGGCCAGCCCGGGAAGGCCACAGAACCCTGGCTCACTCTGGGAGAGCCACTTCCAGTGTTCATGGCGGCATCATTCCCCATTCCCAGGACACTCAAACAACCCAAGTGTCTGTGAGCTGATGGTGGTGACGGTGGGGTGTGCAGGGACAGTGGGCACAACTGGGCACCAGAAAGGGCAGCCTGCTCTTGGTACAACACATGGGGACCTTGTGGGGTTGGGACACATGACACAAGCCAGGCAGAGAGAGGCCGAGAGCGGGTATGATTATATGTCCAAAAATGGCAAACGTATTGCAACAGATAATAATGTAGACCCCATGGGCTAAGGGGTGGGGGGCTGGGGAGACGTCGTTTACCAGGATAAACATGCCTGTGCCTGCGGGAGATGAGTACGTTCTGGAGCGGGAGCGTGCACTAGCGATTATCACCAACAGACTGTATTACAGACCTCAAAGTTGCTAAGAGACTAGGCCCTAAATATTCTCGCTGCAGAAAATAAATGCGTGACTCGTCAGAGGTGTGAGCTAAAGCGTGTGTGAGTGCATCACAGTGTGGAAGTGCCTGCGTGTGTGTGATGTCTTGTATGTTACATCTGGACAAAAGGCGGTCTGGCTGCCTGGAGGTGACCACACGGAGGAGCCTCGCAAGCCCAATGGGGAGCCCCTGGAGTCTGGCCTTGGGTGGCGTCAGAGACAGAGGAGCCACCCATTTCTGAATCCCTGACCGCGGAGTCCCTGGGATTGAATAACCATAGCTTCATTCTGTCCTGATCAGTTCTGGGCATGTGTGGGACCACGGTGGGCAGGACAGGGCTCCTTCGAGTAGGCCCGGCCTGCTCGGTGAGGATGTAGGAGTCCATTCTGTCTGCTGCGAGGGCCTCTTGTGGGAAGTGCTGGGTCGGGGATTGACTGTGGGGGCTCAGGTCCTGGCTGGACCCAGTGGACCCCCCTGGGAGAGTTCTCCCCTACTCTGGCCTCAGCTGTCCCATCTTTCAAATGGGAGACCAAATGGCAAGGTAGAGCAGATGACGCAAACCAGCAGTGGGGGCTTCAAACCCAGGCTCGGGGGACATCTTGCTGGTTCCCACCACTGTTGTTTTAGTTTTGGGATCCAATTTAAGAAATTGGGAGATGTCACGGCTTCTCTCAAAACAGCCTCATGGAAACGGAGAATAGCCTGACCTCCTGGTCTGGTGGACACGCGCTCAGGGCTCCCCGGAATGCACACTTTGGACCTCAGCCAGTCCTGTAAGCCGGGGTGTCGCCCTCCAGGGAGCAAGGAGACAGTGAGGTGAATCTCCCCCTGCTGTGCAGACACACCCCTGCCCCAGTTGAGGGGCTAGCCTGGGAAAGAAGGGCCCTCCACACGACTGAGATGAACTTCCCATCCTCGGGAGACTAGAAGTCCATGCGTGAAATTCATTTTGGTTATTGAAAAATAAAGTCTGATTTTAGTGGGCTCATGGCCCCACAGGGGAGAAGCTGCAGTCCTTCCGTTGGAACAGATCCCCAGGAGTGGCAGGCTGATGAAGCCCTTGAAACACCCACTCATTTGACCCTCAAGCTCCCTGGAAGAAGAGGCTTTTTGACACCTGTTTTCTAAGGAATGGAATTGAGGTGCAAAATAACTTGCCTGAGGTTATGCAGACAGAGAGGTCCCTCTACCCTCCACCCCTTCCCACCCTTGAGGTCCCGCTGCAGCTCCCAGGAGACCCAGGGCTGCCCCTGTGTCCATCCAGAGCCACTGCTCGGTGGCGTCTCCTGGGAGCAGGGTGGTGCCACTAGGTGGCCACCAGATAGGAAGGAGGCCCCTGGAGAGGGGACCCCAGCCGCAGACACGGTCACAGACCACTGTCAGGAGTGGGCCTGCAAGGCAAAGCAGGAGCTGATGTCCTCCCCGGGCGGGTGGGGCTGCGGGGCAGTGGCTGCCGGGAGGAGGGGGGGGGGCCATGCCCTGACAGCTAAGACCAGGTGTCAGCACCCAAGGCATAGGATGTGGCTCCTGAGGGTGGTCTGTCCAGCTGTCGTTCTATAACATGGGGCTTAGGGCTGCAGAGGCTGGAGCTATTTTTCTGGGTCTCAGATTGGCCCCCGTTGCCTGTTCAGGGCTTAGCCGCCCTGGGCTAATTGATGGTGGTCGTGACTCTGGCACTTTCCATGTGCAGACAACTAGCTAGAAGGAGGTGTCCTCAACATCCTCATCTGCAATGGAGCTGTCTGCCAGGGGCCAGTGCTGGCCTTGACCACCTTCCCGAGCCTTTGGGATGAGTTCCCAGGAGTGGCGCTCTCCCCCACCCCAGAAGCCTGGTTTTGCGCTCCTTCCACCCGCCGTGGCTGTTCCTGAATGTCTAGACTGATTTAAAAAACTCACATCCCCGTGAAAGAGATCAATTTCCGCTAGGGCTTCCGGTCACTGGGAGGCGGTGACAAGCCCACTCCTGTGCTTGAGTCTGTAATTAGATTTGGAGGAGAATCAATTCATGTGTCATGAAATTTTAAAAGACAATGTCCCGTGAATGGTACTTCCCATTATTCCAGCTTGATTGA